CCCAGCAAAGTGATTTGTGACCTCTGTCTGATTAAAACTCTCCAAATCTTCTTTAAAAAGAAAAAAAAAAAAGTCTGGATATGGGTTGGAGAAGTCGTCTTTGGTTTCTAATCTATATTTCTCTGCAGAAATTGAATTTAAATGAACACCATAAAACTGTATTTGCAGTCAGCCTCTAAATTCTAGATGCTGTGTTTGTCATTCCATTGTAAACTCAGATTTAGAATAATCTATGGCTTTGTAGCTCTGGTTACTTTTTATAATTGTACAAGTTTTAATGTTAAGGTTTTATTATTGTCATAAATAAACTCTTCCATGAACTAGGGGGAAAATGTCATATACAGCCATGTTACAGGTATTTGCTAATTTTATCATATGCATTTCTGGCCAAGAAGAGTATGGTTTTCCTCACTCACCCCAGTAACACCAATGTGAACTTATTTGAAAAATACTACAGAAGGAAAACATTTTACAAATTTTAATAATAATAATAATAATAATAATGATAATAATAATAATAATAATAAAATCAGAGACTACCAATGACTGCTACCATGGCTTTGAGTTACTGAGAACCCCAAGCCTCACTGTAGAATAGGAAAAAAAATAAAAATAAAAATAAAAATAAAAATAAAAATAAAAATAAAAATAAAAATAAAAATAAAAATCAATAAAAATAAAAACCACAACAGAACTTGACTCTTGAGTCACACAAGTTCTCTAAGAAGTTGTACCTAGTATACATATAGTAGTACAATTAAGTGGTATCAGCTTGTGTTCACATCAATGGAAAGGCTAAGAGAGTTAAAACTCACTTAGTAAACCAATCCTTCTTGCTCTTCATGTCAAATCCTTTATCCATCCATTTCCTTTGAATGCCATGTCTTCACAGCAAGGTCTGCATTACACATGGCAAACATGCTCCCTGGCTGATGTAACAAGACCACAGGAGCAGCTGAGGCATCTAAGTGTTAGTAGATCCAAAGAGAAACAACATCAATGTTCATACTTGATGAACACATAGGCTAGAAAGTGTTTTAAGTTTCAAAGTTTACCTGCAGATTATTCCAGCTGAGATGTCTCCCCAACTAATGCAAGTAAGCTGAGAAAGGCTTACTTGCTTTGAGAACTTATATTCTGTTATATTAAGCAGACATATATAACGCCTACATGAATTTCAGACATTCACTTTTACAAATACCACAATAAGCCACAGGTAAAAAGTGAGGTGTAGAGAACTACGCCTCCAGCACAACAGAAGATTTGGTTATGACTGCCTGAATACAACCAAGAACATTATTTCCCAGGAGAGAGAGAAAGAAAAAAGGAAGAAGCTGACAGAAAATACTGAAACACATTGTGAATATTTCAGAAAGAAATGTGTGAAGATTATACCATCTGAAATTGGAAAGTTTGTAGGACTCTTCATTTTTCTACTATCAACTGTAGAATTAGTCCAATCCAGTCGCAACCAGAAGTTGTTAGCATGTGTACATACATCAAAGCATGTGCACCAGGAAAACCATGGTCAGGCTTGTAGGTTTTTTCCTCCATCCCATCCTTTCCCTAGTTCAACATAGAGAATTCCAGTTCTCTGGATCTACAACATGCTGACTTCTATCCTTACCTAATGAAGGGGAGACAACAGATTTTGTCCTGTTTTGTGACAACTCTAGATAGGCTAAGACTAAAACTAGTCAGCTGGCCCAGGTGGAAAAAAAAAAAAAATCTGTGTTGCTTTAGCTCACACTTATTTATTCAGCCTGCCTGGGTGTGATCCAACATATTGGCATGATACTGACTGATTTCATTGTGCTGGCTGAAGCACAGAAGACTTACATTTCCTAGCCTAAACTTGGCACATTTTTGTGAGAAATTAAAAAATAAATATTTGAAGTAATCATGTTCTAATACATCACTGGTGTGTACACACTCCTACACATACATCCAACACTATTTAGTTACATTTTTCTCTCTGCAGTTTTAATACTAATGATGCAGAACTACTAGTTTACTACAAAAGTTTTATATACCTTTAAAAATGTATATAAAAATATTGCTTTCTCCTCAGCATCAGATAATGTAAACATTTTTATCTCTCATAGCTTCTAGTCACAAACTTTCTATACCTACTCCCCAAGGGAGGAGGTTTCTTCAATGCATACAGGCATCTCAAAGTTTTGTTAAGTAGTACAGCAAAACACTACTTGATTTACATTGTGGTTTCCATTATGCTACTCCTTAACATCTGCTTAGAAAGCCTGTAGAAGAATTCTGGCTGTAGCTATCCATCTGGTTTTCAAGCTCTTGAGAGATTTTACAGGTAAAGTGCTATAAAAACAAGCTTTTTATAAGATCATTAATATTTATCACCTTATCAGGATCTTGAACTTCTTGTCTTGACAAACACTTTGTTTACTGTCTAGACCACAGCAGGTGGAAATGTTAGTCCTACTTTTCATCACTTTGCATTTTTCAAAGTTTCATTCCATGCAGAACATAAACTTCTGTCCACGAGATTACAGAAAATGTCATGTTTGTATTTGTGTTTTGAAGCATTTGAAAAACACAGAAAAATCTGAGGTCACGATGCCCTAAGTGCACGGTTCAATCATGAAAAAGCATTTTTTTTTACTTGCAATTGATAACATAAAGTTGTTGATTAATAAAGTACTGAATAAGCGTACTTGATATAGAATCATATCAAATAGCTCCATGTCAAAATAAATTGACAGCTATATTTACTCACACAAAAGGCAAGAAGAACATCAAAGCTGGCAAATACTTGTAAGTTGATGCAGTCAAAAGGCAGGCTTGCTCACATGTTCACAGCTCAGTGTGCCTGCAGCACCCAGCCAGCTTTAAGTGATGATTGGGTAAATGTATCTTAATCCAAACACACACACAAATGTCATGCGTGGTCTTCAGCTGGTGTCAATCATAACAGTGCCACTGAGATACATGGAGCTGTGCCATTTTTTTTGCCGACACAGGTAGGTGGCCAACTGGAACAGTTTTTGCAGCAAGTAGAGTAGGAAAGAACAGCATTATTTGCTAAAATTTAAATTCTTTCCTGTTCCTTCCACCTCCCAGTTTTGTTGTAAAAAATGAATAGTTCTTATTTCATTTTGATGATTGCATGCATGCATGTATGAATGAGTCGACCTTGTTAAAAACTGCTGACAGCTCACTTATAAGTAAGACACACCAAAAAGTAAAATCGTGATAATTCCTAAAACTCTTTAGCCTGAATATTTTAAGTACGTTTTCCTCTCCAATGCAAGGTGGTCAGTATTATATTACTTAAGTCCATTCTTGGAAAACAAAGTGTTTCTAAAACTTTGAAATTTTGAGAAGCATATTGAAGTCATACTGCACTTTCCCTTCCCACATAAAAAAAAAAAATGCAATAAATAAATATACATACATATTTAAATTAAAAAAAAAAAAAAGCTCACTGTAGCATACAGTCAGCAGTAGGGACAGAGAAATTAGCTCTAATTTTGTTTTTCATTACATTTGTTGCTGTTAATGGCTAGTAAATGACATTGTAAATAAGCCCAGTGCACCTTGCAAAGACAGTACCGTAGAAAGAGTGATTACCCTTAAAGCACAATTGAAAATTAACTGGGATGCGAAATATCTGTGCTGCAGTGTAATTTAGTGTTCCGTGTTGATACGGTAATTACTTAAACCAGAACTTAGCGTCGCATGATACTTTACAAAACACTTCTAAGAAGCAACAGACAGACTGAAGCACACCACACCTTTCTGCTACCCTTAAGTAGAGCCAAGTTATAAAATATCTCCCCATAGTAACTAATTTACAGTATAGAGACACTGATAACATCTTAATCTTGGCAGCATACTGCAGCATCGCAACTACACAATTACGGCAAACTTTCTGGCGGTCAAAGAAGGCTTTCAGCCCGGCCTAACCCCTCGCACCAGCCGGTCTGTGTGCAAACACCGGCTCTAACGGGGGCAGGGGTGAACCCCCCCGGCTTGGCTGCGCGCTCTCCTTGCGAGTTAACCCCACTGCTAGCATCACAGTCAGAGAGGGGAGCCTAAGTACTTGCAGCTCCAGCCAGCCATTTGTATTCTCTAACTGGCCAGCATTCCTCCCCTGCGCGGTCATTTCTCTCGGAGTTTTTTGATACCCACTAAGGCTTTGCTCGGACTTTGGGTCCGCTTCCTCCTCGACAGGGAGGCTGCCCGGCGGCGGCGAGCGGGCGGCAGACGGGTGACAGCGGTGACAGCCGCCCCGCAACACGAAGTTCCCCCTGGTGCTGCCGAGCCCCGCAGCAAGCACGGAGCGGAGCCCGCACCCGGCTCGGCCCCCCCGGGCTCGGGCTGGGACCTCTCAAACACCTCGGGAGGGGCGTCGGGAGCCGGGGGAGCCCCGGCGGGGGTTGGTAGCGGTGCTTCCCCAGCACTGAGGGCAGCCGCAGGCAAGCCAAAAAAGACTCCGAGGACTGTCCCCGGGTTCACCGGCTGCAATCGCTTTCCGCCACGATTAAGGACGCCGCGATCGCTGCGAGATGCTCCTGTCCCCGGCGCCCGGCAGCCAGCAGGCGAGAGGCGCAGCTCCGGCGGAGTTGGGGCGCGGGGACCCCCCTCCCCTCGCACCCACGGGCGGGCGAGGAACACCATCAGCCCCCGCCCGGAGCGACCCCAGCGGACACCCCCCACACACAGCCCGAGCCCCCGTCCCGCCCGGCCCCTTACCGTGCGGTGGCGGCTGGGGCTTGCCGCCCGGCGGCTTCTCCTTCCTGCCGCCCGCCGCGCTCCGCAGCCGCCAGCCCGCCGCCCCCCTGCCCAGCGCGCCGGCCATGCCGCGGCCGGGGCGGCCCCCGCAGCGCCGGGCCCGGCGGGGACAGCGCGGGGGCGGAGATGGGGCCCGGGACCCGGCGGCGGGGACGGGGACGGCGATGGGGACGGGGGCGGGCGGGAGGGAGCAGCGCGGTCCCGGCGGTCCCGCCCCCGACCAAGCCGGCGTCAGGCAGCGCCGCGCCCCCCGCCCCGCTCCTGGGAGCTGGGAGGGGGTTTAGGGGGGGTGCGCAGCGAGACCCCGTCCCCATCCCTGCCGGGAGCCCTCCTCCCACGGAGCTTCGCCGGGAGCCATGTGTAGGTTACCTCCTGCCATCCCCAGCGCCGGTGCCGCGCACTCCTGCCTCCATCGCGGTGTCACTCGGGCGGGGAGTGCTGCTTACCGAGAGCTCCTGAGCGAGGAGGCAGCGGCAGCCCCTCTCCGTGCCCCCGGGACTCGGGAAGTGCCCTCGATCGCCCGGCGGTCCCACCAAGGGGTGCCTGCCATGCAAGAAGCACCCCGTCCTCTGAAACGTGCGGTCAGCTTAACTCCGGACCTAATACTTAAAAAGTTACAGGCTCGGGGATGAATATTAGCAAATTTTCAGGCGAGACCAAACAACAACAACAACAAACAATAGTTTAAAATGCCGCTGTAGTCCCGAAGATTTGGCGGAGCGGGGTGTTGCATAAGTACAAATGGTGTGTGTAACTTTTGTTTGTAACCGTGGTAATGACTCCACTTGTATGTCAAATTACAGCAGTCACTGCAGCAGCTCTGGAAAGGTATTCCACAGTTGCTTTTTAATTTTTCATGCACATATATATCTATATGCCACCGGCACCTCCACCGAGCATATCATTCTTTCTATCTGCACACTTTGAAACGCAGAGAAACTGTATGCAGAACTTGCATTGATTCTCCCATTGAAAGAAAAGGAAAAGAAAGCCTCTCCCTATGTCCCATATCCATATCCCTGTATCCCACCTCTGCTACCCTGACTTCAAGAAGCTTATGGAGAAAAATAAGTAGGGTTCATCGTTGTCATAACTTTAAAACTTATTCTTTGAAGACTCGATTGGACTGAGTACCTAATTTAAAAGAGAGAGGCAGGGAGAGAGGGAGAGCTCCTCTTGGGTTTGTAGCTCCAACAGACAAGGTGTAAAGAAGCCATAATCTGTGATGGAAGAGCAAAGCTTTGTCCTCCACAGAATTTATCTGCCTCTCTTATGTGGTCATCTCATACCCCAGGCTCTGATGATCAGGCCTCCCTCCTGTGCCCACACCCTGGTTGTCCTAAGCCCCTGAGCCCCTAGTGCTGGCAGCCCGTTGCTGCTGCCTGCTGAAGCTGGGGTGGTTTTCATTAGCGCTGAGAATGATTCATGCGAACCAGGATTACTGACCTTGACCTGACACGTACAGATACACCCTGTGGTGATGAATGTAATAGAATAAACAGTTAGATATGACTGCATATCCCCTCTTGTAGGGCTGTTCTTGCCCAATTCTATTGCATTGTAACACAAATAATGACTCATTTGCTTACCCTCATAGCACATTTAGAAACCTGCTATTCATCACTGCTTGAAGGCTCTCGAATAAATACACTCCCCAAATGATTGATTTAAATCAAATATATTTCTATCACTTGATCCTGTTTCTGTTATTGTTGATAATGACTACACATGTGGATGTGTGGTGTATCATCTCACTGCTGCTCCACATTAGGATGTTTTTTATAGTGAATAGTCTTTTGTTAAATGTACTTTTATAATTACATTTACACAGGGGAGGAGGGGGAGAGAAAAACAAAAGAAAATATAGCTGTAGAAGAGCCCACTCTCCAAACACAAAGAATATGAAACTTCTACAGCAATTAGTTGGAATGCAAATTAAGAATAGGGTATAAAAATGTTTTGTATAGAACAGTATTTTTAAGTGATATAAAAATATATAGCAAAGAATTTGTTTTATATAAAACAAAGAATTAGTGTGGAGAAGGAAAAGTCTGTAGTAGTTATACGCAGAATTAATATTCCAGAACAGGTTTAATAAATAGGAAAAAAGAAAAAAACTTACCTCTTAAATTTAGAATCATATAATGATTTGTGTTGAAAGGGACCTTAAAGATCACCCAATTTTTGTTTTTTTGTGCAAAGAGGTATTTTTGCAGAAACTTCCAGAGCTGGAAAAAAAAAAAAAAAAAAAAAAAAAAAAGTATTCACAACCCCTTCCTGAAAGATTGATTTTTCTATGATCAACATTTAATGACTTTCATTTTTGTTTTTACAAAGGAATGAAGACACAAGAGCATTCTTAAATATCATTGTAGAGTGTAATACCTGTGATTTAAAGGACCACCTTGCTTATTCATCGTATGCAACAAAAGGTGTAATGGAGAATATGAGCAGCCTCTGTTGAAAAGGAAAGGTACAGATATCATAAAATGATAATACCGAAATGTTGTATGATACCACTATGGCTCATAATTTCATTCCCTTAGTGTAGCATCATAAGTTGCAAGCTAATTTTTGTTTATCCTTGTTTATGTTTCCTGCTCATCTAATGATGAAGATGTACAACCATTTTCTTGTATTAACTTGGGGCTGTTTTTCCACTGGTGAAGGAGTATTTGGATGTCATATCCCTCTGTTAAATATAATATTTGCATAGATGCATTAAACAGACTGGTGATTTGAATACATGTTCTAAATTTTGCTTACACTGAACTGACTTATACAGACCTTCACAGACAGGAGCATTAACATAAGCATTTCTGCTTAGGCATCTGTTGTTTTACCTAAGAATAATATGGAAGAGTTTCTGATAGGATTGTTCTTGTTTCCTTTGCAGAGAAGAATACAGAGTAGCTTTTGCATTCACAGTCCACCTGAGGATGACATCTCAGATTTGTAAGCAGTCAAATTCAGCTCAGTCCACATTAGCAATCCAGCTCTAATATGGAAGCCCCAAGGCAGCTCTGCCCCTGCTCATCTTCCAGTCCACAACTTGCTGGCAATGTGCTTGTAATTTACCATTGACAAGAATTTCCTCTCGCTGCCTTTTGGTACTGAAGATATATGTATGTTCTTCTAACCCAGACAAACAGAAAAGCTAGATGGAGTAGAAAAGCAATTCACAAAATGATACCAATTCCTTGCAAAACACCACTTCATGTTCCACTGGGGAATCTGTGCACTTCCAGGAGATGCCTCCAGGTTATAATGCACTGTGAATATGAATACACTCGTGATTTTGTACAAACCAGACAAAAAGCAGAATAACCACAGGCAACATTTTTCTGGGCTAGCCTACGTGCCTGCAGCTGCCCTCCTCTGCTTTGTACCAGTGCTGTGAGAAAACACCTGAGACAAAGTTTGCTCCTTCACTGCAAAGAATGCACTTGCATTCATGCCGTGCTTTGGGTCAGCCTGTGTGCACTCCTCTTCTTCTGTCTTGTGCTAGAGGAATCAGAAAAGAAATGGTACCAGCCGCAAGGAAAGATGCAGAGCAGGGGTTAGGTTGCCTCGGGGACATCAGTGTGCACCCCCACCACAGCTTTGTGATCCTCAGTATAATCCTTCTGAATCTTCTTGCATGCACCGAGAGCAGTTGTGCACATGCTAGCACCAAGTCCAGTGGACGTACAGTGCCTGCACGGTGGGCAGCCATGATCCTCACCAGCTCAAAAGTGTGAGAGCCATTGGTGGCTGAGGCTGAGGACAGCTTCAAGCCCAACCTGAACCAAGTCATATCCTGTGCTTCCTGTGCTCATACCTGTTTCATGGAGCTGAGAATGGGTTTAGAGCACTAGATACACATCATTAAAGGGGAATGTCCAATGAAGTCAGGACTTAGTACTGAAGTCTGACTAAAAAGACAGCCTCTATAATTCTAATTTTCAAAAAAGCAGAAATGTATTCCCAAAATTCAACATATCATTGGCTCCCAGAATCCTTCTTTTAGATGCAATGTCTTTTGTCCTACTCCTAGAAACTAGGGGAAAGAGAATGTAGCTGGGAAATAATGATGCACTGGAAAGAAATATTTCTGTTCTCAATGCCTTTGTCTATGTTTCTTTCAATACACCTCTGTTCCTTCAGTTATTATGCCCAAGAGCAGAAAACTTGTTTTCCAGCAAGCGGAAGTGAAGAGATGCATTCCCAATGGATAGGACAGAAGATACAATTTATAAGTTGTGCCTACTCTTTTCACACCACACAGAGTTTGAAAAGTGATTGATGGTCTGCCCCAAGAATCTGGGGTGCTGGATGGATGCGCAGTTAGGCAGAATTGATACTTCAAATATGGAGATTTTGAAAGTCCACAGGAGACAGCCTTGACCTTAGAGCATTTCAGTTACTGTTCTGGAAGCTCATATTTGAAATGATCCTACATGTATTGCAGGTTGAATGTCCAGCCAAAAGTCCATTTTACTCAAACTTCTACTCAAAATCTGACCAGAGGGAGTTACTTGAATCACAGTCCTGGTCCTAAGATATTGCTGTGGGTCAAAGGTGGCTGCATGTTTCTGTCTTTCCATCCAATATAATGAACAACTACAAGATTTGAAATCTCAGGTTCATTTATCCCAGTATTGATGTTTAAGACACTTCAATATTTCACTACATAACTTAGAGCAGGCTGGGGGAACTGTAAGTGCAAGTGCATCACTAACCTGGTGAGCATTTAGAAAGAGAGAAGCTTGTATTTTCACATACCACCATTTAGCAGCTCAGAGATAAACTGGGAGTCTTCTGAAAGAAAAAAATGGTATAAAGAGTATTTACTATTCTTTCAGGTCAGGTAAGTTTTCATGACTGAAATACAAAATTAATGTGAATGAAATTTCTGTTTTCAAAGAAATTTCTGGTTTCAAAGCTCTAAAGTTATTACAGGGGTGCCTCATAGTTCCTGATGAAATGGAAATGTTTCTCAAGAGCTGGATCAGAAGATACAGTCTTTAGGAAGTGCAAGAGAGAGGATCCCAAGAGGGCACACTGCTCTTGGGTATTTACTAGTACTTCTGCTTTGGATACCTCTGAGGAATGGGAGTTTAGATAAATATAGAGCAAATGCATGCCCAGGAGTTTCTGAGAAAATAATCACAAGGTCAGCTATAAAAATTCAGCTAAATTCAGCTTGTAATTACCCCAGCCACAGGATATAAGGAAAAAATAACCGTGATAAGAAGGCTTAAACAGATCTTCTTTTTGACTTCTTTCAAAAATTAAATAGATTTTCCCTGAGATTTCTGAATGTCTTAGCAAATAAATTTAGCAATGTGAGAGAAAACTCCCAGTTCTTCCTTTTTGACCCACGTTTTGTATGATCTGCAAACCTAACCAATTATTTTCTGTGTTGGGTATCAGTCTTTCTCAGTGTTCAAGTTGGTCTCTTATAAATATGTTTCCCTGTAAATGTGTCAGAGATGCATTTGCTGGGATTTAGAAGAAAGAAAAAAAAAAAAAAGTAATATAAATCATTAATAAATTATTTATAAAAAAGTAGTAATCATTATCAATTTAATATAGTACAAGTGTGTACACAGTACATAGTACATGGTCTAGACCAAGAATTCAGTTATTACAGATATAAACGGAAATGTAAATTTCATATCCTAACTAGAATAACATGCTGCAGAGGGAACTCACCCTGGAAAAAAATAAAAAAAAAAAAAAGTGAGCTTTTTTTCACCTGTCACCTTCTTCAGGGTTCAGCAAGTCAGGCACAGCCTTAGTTTCTATTTGCAGCTCTGTAGGAAGCTGCAGAAAACGTATTGCTAGGGGCTGCAAGAGAAGTGTTGTGAATGAACCATTACTTCCCCTGGCTGTGCATTTCCCTGCCAACAGCTGCTACATCTGTAGTGTCCCTCTGGCATAAGGTGGGTTGCAGCAGCTTGCTGAAAACCTCATGTAGAATTTATGGTACTAGTGACTGTGAATGTTTTGTTTGCCTTTTATTTCTGTAACCATAATTCAGGGTTTACCTCTTTATTTCACTGGAGTTATGCTTGAAGGTGGCACATAGGATTGGGCCCTAACTGTAGCCACTAAAAGCATATCAGACGCAGACAATGCACATCCTTACTGAGAAGCAGAGTAATGTAGGTAAACTCATACATTTACAGAGGTCTAATCACCCATTAAATCCACTATGACTGCATTATGTAGCTCTTCCCTGGCTTTTAGTCAAGAACTATTGCTTAAAATGTTTTTGGTAAAGAACACACTAGTGTGAAGCCACATGGAGTAAGACAGATTTGTAATTTTTAATTATATGTCTCAAAATTACATAATTTGGCCTTATACATGTGATCTTCCAGACTTGGTCAAAACAAGCATTTCCACAGTACTGCAGGAATAGGGAAAAAGAAAAGAGGGGCTGTGTCCTGTGAGGGAAACAAGGATAGAAGACAAGCAGCAGCTTCCCTTCTGCCCGATACACAGCTGAGTTACGTAACACACCGCTCCCAGAAGCCAATGTGCTGACCATAGGGAAGCAGCACGCGTCTCCAGGGTTGCTTCAGACTGTCAGAACCAGACTCTGCCTTTTCTATAGACTAGAGATAAAAATACAGTTTAATGTTTGACACCTCTTGAGCTCCCAATACATTTTTTCAAGCTGAGTTTTAGTACTCACAGGTCTAGGGGATGTGGAAATGCATGCAGCGTATGAGACACACACCCTGGAACTACAACTTCTAAAACCTGACAAAACGCAAACAGAGTTGTTAATAATGATGCACACCTTTCTATTTTTTTCTGCCCTAGCTACAGTAAAACTAAAAAGCAATGTACACCTATGGCTGCTCCAAATCTACCTCTGATATTTCTATTTCCACCTCTTGTTTTTCAACATGAATATATTGGATTTTTCAGGATTTTATACCTCTCAGAAGCATTCTCTGCATGGGTAAAAGTTATATATATCATGTGTAACTCATTTATTTTTAAAAAAGTTGGTATTTCTTCTCCCTTTCAATCATTCATTGGCTCATGCTAATATAAAATAAGCATTGATTCCCATCAATAATCAGGGAATTAAAACTTGTAAGACAGTTGTTCTTGCTGTGGTGCTATCCCACAGGATACCTGGGACATTAGTCTGATTTAGTGGCAGAAAAGATAATGGTAGTTTACTCCAGACTTCAAAATACAACAGAGGAATAAAAAGCTAGGTAATGATTTTGGTAGAAAAATGCCCAATCCAAAGATGTAAAGCACACACAGTAGATTTTATTTCTGAATACAAAGGCTATACATTTGTTTTCTGAACTCAAATTTAATACATTTTTAGGCACAGCTGCACAATAAAAGGGAAATAAATATTGATATTCAAGTCTACATACCTAGAGTCCCTCTTCACTTCTCAAAGCACTCTGTACAGTGCTGCTGTAGGAGACAGAGACAAAAGGCTTGAATATTAAAAACTGCAGCAGTTCAATAGAACAATGCAACAACCTTGTCAGACTCAGGTGCATCTGGTGCTACAGTCAAGCCTTCCACTCATACTTAACCAGCACTGTTAAGTATTTATTCACACAAAAGAAGCATTTTATAAAAATTATCTTCTTATTTTACTCTACAATTACCTCATTTGCAATGGAAAATAGTTTAGAAGATATGTGAGCTTCTGCAGCTGATAAAGTCAATGGACTTCAACAGGTTTGGGACTTCTGGGATCCAGAATTTTCACAATCATACATATTGTATTCTATTAGACATACAGTATTAAGGTTAGGTCAACATTAGATAAAAGTCTCAAAAATACTGGTCTGATTCTGTAAACTTTACATCTGATATGTTGATACTGATTGTAATAAATGCTCTTGTGTGAACTGCAGGATTGAGAATATGCACGTGCTGATTAATGCATAGCTAGAAGTATTATTTGTTCGGGTAAGATGGAAGCTCACCAAACTGATCTAGAAACACTAGAATTAAATTTAATGATGACTACCATTGTTTCAGATAATAGAACTTTCCTATCATTTAAACTATAATTATATTTTCTAAATCACACCTGGTTGAAAATTTAGGTACTATAAAAAGCCTTGTAAGAATATGCTAAACCCAAAGCACGTGAAATATTAGGTATTGTTCTGATGCTTTGTAGTGGGTTATTATTTTCTATACCCAAACATCAAAGGAAGACAGAGAAACTTAGTTTGGATCAAAGCTCACCTTACCTTATTTGATTTCCATTCCTGTGTCTGTCAATAAGAAACTTACCTCAGTAAAGACAAAGGATGAAATCTAATACACTGCATATATCTAACAGCACAATCACCTAAAACTAGGAAATAAAATGTCTAAATTATAAATATTTCATTCCTGGAAGAGAACCAGTAATGTGATATTATGTGTCTATGGGAAGACCAGTCTCAGAGGTGAATTCAAAGAGAACTCTATAGAGAATTAGTAAACTGGCAGTCCACAAAGCTATGAAGAGACTAACAAAAGTCAAATACAGAAATACTGCAAGGAGCAGAAGTAAAAATTTGCAGAGGTCTTTTTAAAGAAGTGATGCTGTCTCTTGTTCCTTCTATGACATAATTATGTCAATTATGTATCTTACAATACTTATGATCCACAACCAGCTGAAACACTGAAAACACACTCCTTCCTCAGAGGAGTCTACAGGGGCAATGGCTAATGGCCACTCCTGAAAGAAATGTAGATTTAATTCTGAAACAGCAGAAAAGGGATTTGAATTAGATTTTGTCACTTTCTAAACAAGTACTCTAACCACTAGGCAATCATCTAAAATGGCGATTTACCTTC